TATTTTGATACATATCGATATATAGAGCCTTTTGGGGTATCTTAATTCGTGTTCGTTTCTCAAATGACCACGTAAGTTTGTTTCAGGTGTTTCACATATGTGCCAAGTCTCATTGGTCAGCTGAGATAGCACACGTGACAACTATGTTCATGATGTCCATGGTTCATTAAAAAATCCAAATGATCAATCTATCAACGTACTATCGGTTAATCCTTTGACCAAAGTATGTTGTTTTGACATAAGCACTTCACGCCCAGATATGGGTGTATTTCGTCTGCTTTAGTAAACCTACGTACATGAACACTAACTTTTGACAAATCTACTCCGCAAGATAACATTGATTTATCAATCAAATTATCGGTTAATCCTTTGATCGATGTTTTTTTAGCAACTCAACAGATCATTCTTCTCTTACTGTGTTGCCATGGTTATTACTTAACATGTAGTCCATTCACCGCATCAGACTGGATTTATAACCCAGTCTTCTATTGAGTAATTACCCCAGACACAAGAAATGCCAAAAGGGAACCGCTGAATGCTACATATCCTCTGGGGCGGTCAGGGTAGCCTTGTGGTTAAAGCGTTCGCTCGTCACGCTGAAGACCCGGGTTCGATTCTCGACATGGGTACAATGTGTGAAGCCCATTTCTGGTGTCCCCCTGCCGTGATAATGCTGAAATATTGCTAAAAGCGGCGTAAAACAATACTCACTCACTCACTCACTCACTGTATATCCTCTACACCTCCAGAGGCAGGGATGAACGTTATTGAGTAATTTGGCAGTCTTTGTCAGACAATCTGAGTGGTTCTACCACTAATTCTATCTGATTATATTGATGACTTTATCTTCTTGTTCATTCAACATCCGACAGTCGATAGTATACAAAACCAATGGAATGGGAAAAGGGGGTTTTAATTGCGGCTTCAAATAAATCAAATTGTTCTTTTAAATATTATAGGTCAGTTGACATGATATTATAACGTGATATTATTAAATATCAACCTATAAAATACAGCAATAGCATCCACATCAATCTGTCACCTTGCCCGTGAAGATCCGGGGTAGAATAGTTTTGCTTGCTGTAAAATGCGACTAAGCTTGTCGTAAGAGCCAACTAACGGGATCGGGTGGTCAGGCTTGCTGACTTGGTTGATGCATGTCATCGTATTCCAATTGCGTGGATCGATGCTCATGATGTCAATCACTGGATTATCTGGCCCAGCCTCGATTATTTACAGACCGCCGTCATATAGCTGGAATTTTGCTGCGTGAGGCGGTAAACAAAACAAACAAACAATCTGTCATCTTATAATCCACGCATTCAGAAATCCGAACATGTTTTCACTGCGGGGAGACATATTTTTTATCAAACTATAACCATCAGGGGAATTTCCAAATAACGGCATCCGATGAGGTTGTCGCGCTCTGTTGCGTTAGCCAGCTGATCGACTCACGGCAGCTACTGAATAAAAATATGAGCCTTAGCTGGTGGTGTGAGGCAGTCGGAAAGAAGCCAGAGTGTAGTTTCCCTTTATTTATAATATAAGTAAAATTGGACGTTATTCTCCTGACATACACGTTGCAACAGTATTCATGATGCCACGGACATTTTCTAAGCTCCCGTTCTAGCGTCTTTCCGTAGTAAATACATAAACAGCTGATAAAGCGTGCGCCACGTGTCCATATCGAATGGAAGCCGCCATTGTTGAGTCGTGGCTGTATCACTGAAGCGCACGCGCTGCCTACCTAGACAACCAGGTCTCCAGGAGAGAAACACAGGGGATAGTGAGTTAAAATGGATAAATAGCCACGATCACAAAGAAAGGAGACGCATTTCTCTAAGCAGACGCTGTCAAATGATCTAACTTCGAAGCCATGTAATATTGTAATCTTGTAATTACTTACATTCGGTTGCTGTGCCTGTGCACGACCTCCCGGCTGTGCTTCCTGCACGTTATGACGAGCGCTGGTGGGGTTGTGTTACTATTTTAAGAATACATCCTGTCTTTCGCTTCAACCAGAGTCGATATACATATGTACCTAATATGGGCTCTGCCTCAACAGCGAGTGAGTGAGTATAGTTTTACGCCGCTTTTAGCACTATTCCTGCAATATCACGTCGGTGGACACCAGAAATGAACTTCACACATTGTACCCATGTGGGGAATAGAACCTTGGTATTGGGCGTGACGAGCGAACCCCTTCACCACCAGGCTACCCCACCGACCACCTCGGTAGAGGCAGGGGACCGGTCTGTTTTTCTATAACTTAGTTCATCGAACACCTATTTCTATGCGGATTTGTGTTTTTATGACAAATACTGAAAAAAAAGAGTAGAAATGGTAATGGTATTAATATTCCTATTTATTTTATTTTTTTGTGGTAACATTCATTGTACTCGCATCTCTTGCTCTAATGAAGTTTGTAAAGAACTTATTTAGTTTTCATTAAGGTGCATTGATGTTTCAAATTGATAAACCCATCAATATATGATTCATATTTTCTTAGCTAGGCTACGCAGATAAACTCAGGGGTCGAACGATCGCATCAAAAAGTGGAAGAGATATGACAATCGGTATTAGACAACTGACGTTAGGAATGTGAGAATATGCGGGAAATACCAAACTTATCCCACCTGTTCGCAAAATGGACTTGTCCGACATTGCCGAGGTCGGATTCCATTCAGGGAGTCATCATTATGTAAATACGGGTAAATATATTTCAAGTTTGTACGGTTTAGTAACATCCTTAAAGAGGCTGAACATAATATTGATATCTCATGTAAGAAATAATCGACTGGCGGTTTATTCTCCCTGCAGTGTTTTATTGTAAAACTGCTAATCGTCATTTATTTTTAGATTAACTTTATTTCATTTGCTTGAGTTTTAGTTGAGATACCTATTGTCACCAATATCAAAAAGGGGCGGTAGGGTAGCCTGGTGGTGAAAGGGTTCGCTCGTCAAGCCGAAGACCCGGGTTCGATTCCGTTCATGTGTACAATGTATAAAGTCCCCCCCCCCCCTCCTGGGGTATTGCAAAAAGCGGCGTAAAACATACTCATGCTCTTCAACATCATAAATATCTTATGTATGAATTTATCTATCAGTTAGCTTTATTTGATGTGGTTTATGTTTGTTTTAGTTCCGATAACTTTTGCCTCCAAATTCATAAATGCTACATATATCGTATTGATAAATATTGTATTGTTTTTTTTAAATATTAAGTTTCGTTTGTTTGTTTGTTTGGTGTTTAACGCCGCACTCAATATTCCAGCTATATGACGGCGGTCTGTAAATAATCTAGTCTTTACCAGACAATCCAGTGATTGATATCATGAGCATCGATCCACGCAATTGGGACACGATGACATGCATCTACCAAATCAGCGCGCCTTACCATCCGATCTCGTTTGTCTCCTCTTACGACAAGCATCGTATTGTATACAGAAGTGAGTGATAAGTATTATATATAAATTAAGAACGTGTTTTATATTGAAATAACTGTTTTGTATAAATGCCATTGTATTGTGTAACGACGTAGGGGACATAGAGTCAAGAACGTGTAGTGCATGTTGACAGACACAATATATTAATGTATGTATGTATGTAGGTCGCTGGAGTCCCTGGGTGACCTGTGGGTGACCGCCCGGTGACCGGATGAGGTTAGCGGTCAGGGATATCTATCTGCATCCGGCCACTAGACCACAGCATAAAGTGGCATCCCCGTGTTGTCGTACTTTGCAGCCGTACGATACACTTTTGAAGTGTAACATTAATCCATACAAAGAATTTATGGTTCCATGAAAACTTATTCACACTCTATGGAAAATGTCTCACTGAAAATTTGGTTATTTTTTGTTTATTTGTTTGTTGTTTAACGCCGCACTCAGCAATAGTCAAGCTATATGACGGCGGTCTGTAAATAATCGAGGCTGGAACAGACAATCCAGAGATTGACATCATGAGCATCGATCCACGCAATTGGGACACGATGACATGCGTCAACCAAATCCTGACCACCCGATCCCGTTTGTCGCCTCTTACGACAAGCATAGTCGCCTTTTACGGCAAGCACGGGTTGCTGGAGACCTATTCTACCCCGGATCTTCACGGGTTAATGTTACGTGAACTTGTCACAATGGTTCAGTAATAATTTAAGTGGGCACGGGTTGCAGGTCACAGCAAATATGTTAATTGCCTTGTTTTGACCAAGAGTCTAGTGGTGTATAAGAACAATCAGCACACTAATTAAACAGGCTAACTACCTTGTTTGTCAAAGCAGGGTTGTAGACGATGACAGTTAGTTTATTGTCTTGTTCTGGACAGGCTAATTACTGGTCAACTCTGAAACATACAGAGTTGCTGTATGACTACATGTAAGGAAGATAAGATAGCCTTTGATTTATCCCTGTCCAAGAACACGTGGTGTAAACATGTGGTCACTACATGGCCAGAGGATTATTAACGACCGAGATAGATGGCATTGGATTTAAATATCCCCTACGCAGCAAGAATATGAACTTGCTTACGTCCTCCACGAGGCAAACTCTGGGCCTCAAGGTCAACGGGCAAAGCCCTGCCACCCCTTAAATACGGAGGTGGTTTCAGAGTGAGTGAGTGAGTTGGGTTTAACGCCGCATTTAACAATATTCCAGTTATATCGCGGCGTGTCAGCTTAATGTGGGAGGAAAGCCCGAAGTGATGCAGGTCTCAGACGTTTACCACTTCGGTGAAACCCACGAGCACGGGTATGGTGCTGACAAACCTAGAAACATAATTGGGGCGAACCGGGATTCGAACCCACAGTCATAGGTTTCTGGCAAGCTCAAGGGACGCAACTCTGCACAGTGAATCGCGGCGCCTTAGACCACTGGGCCACCCGTGCCCCCTCCCTGTCCAAGAGCACGTGGTGTAAACATGTGGTCACTACATGGCCAGAGGATTATTAACGGCCGAGATAGATAGCATTGGATTTAAATATCCCCTACGCAGCAAGAATATGAACTTTGTAAACCTTTATTCCTGAACTATGAAACGTGTGATGTTACATCCCTCGCTACATTCAACACACTGATAAGATTGATTCCACGGCGAATCCTTGTGTTTCTGCAGATTACCTGAGTGTGTCAATCCTTTCTCACAAACAATGCACTCGTAAAGGTTTGATTCCATTGTGAATCATCACTTGTGTATGCAGAGTACCTGAGTGTCAAAATATTTTCCCACATCGAACAAACTGCTAAGGCTTGCTTCCACTATGAATGGTCAGGTGTCGCTTCAGGCTATTTGAGTATGTAAACGCTTTACCACACACATCACACTGATACGGCTTGCTAGCACTATGAATGGTCATGTGTTTCTGCAGGCTACTTGAGTGTGTGAACCACTTATCACACACAACACACTGATAAGGCTTGACTCCACAGTGCATCCTCATGTGTTTCTGCAGGCCTCCTGATGCTGAAAATGTTTTCTCACACACAATGCATTGATGAGTCTTGATTCCACAGTGCATCCTTATGTGATTCTGCAGGCTACTTGACTCTGAAAACCGTTTACCACAGACAACACACTGATAAGGCTTGATTCCAATGTGCATCCTCATGTGTTTCTGCAGGTCACCTAAGAGTGTAAATGTTTTCTCACACACAATGCATTGGTAAGGCTTGATTCCGCTGTGAATCCTCATGTGTTTCTTCAAGCTAAATGGTTGTGTAAACCATTTCCCACATTCAGGACACTGATTTGGCTTGATTCCAGTGTGAACCGACATGTGTCTCTGCAGGAGACCTGACCTTGAAAATTCTTTACCACATTCAAAACACTGATAAGGCTTGATTCCACTGTGAATCATCATGTGTGTCTTCAGGTTACCTGATTGTGCAAATGCTTTCCCGCATTCAACACACTGATGAGGTCTCATTCCAGTGTGAATCGGCATGTGATTCTTCAGAGTACTTAATCGTGTAAATGTTTTCTCACATATATTACACTGATTAGGCTTGACTCCACTGTGAATCCTCATGTGTATCTGCAGGTAATTTGATCGTGTAAATTCCTTCCCACATTCAACACACTGATAAGTTTTGATTGCAGTGTGAATGCTCATGTGTGTCTGCAGCTGACCCGATTGTGTAAATGTTTTCTCACACACAATGCACGGATAAGGCTTAATTCCACTGTGAATCCTCATGTGTGCCTGCAGATGTCCTGAACCTCTAAACCTTTTACCACATTCTACACACTGATAAGGTTTGATTCCAGTGTGAATCAGCATATGTTTCTGCAGATGACCTGCTAATGTAAATGTTTTCTCACACACGATGCACTGATGAGACTTGATTCCACTATGAATCATCATGTGTTTCTGCAGGCTACCTGATTGTGTGAACCCTTTCCCACATTCTACACACTGATAAGGTTTGACTCCAGTGTGAATCAGCATATGTTTCTGCAGATGACCTGATAATGTTTTCTTACAAACAGTGCACTGATGAGGCTTGATTCCACAGTGAATCGCCATGTGCCTTTTCATGTCTTCTGATTTAATAAATGTTTTCCCGCATGCACTACACGTTGATTGATCTTCTGGACCACCACAATCTTTGTGTTCCTTGAGATCACCTGTTTCCTGAGTGTCAGTAATTTCCAGCAATTCTCTCTCACAGTCACTGACTACACATGTTTCAGAAACAGAGCCAGGATTCTGTGGTTGGCTTTGTACTTCCATTGTTAACTTGTGGATGTTATGGTGTTCACTGAAAACAAAAGAGTTGTCTTTTATCATGATAATGCATTTTCAAAAGATGTTTCCACAAGAACACCAACAATAACGAGGGCTGAGACCCGTGAAGATCCGGCGTATAATAGGTCTTCAGCAACCCATGTTTGCCGTAAAAGGCGACTAACGGGTTCGGGTGGTCAGGTTCGCTGACTTGGTTGATGCATGTCACGGATCCCAATTGCGTGGATCGATCGATGCGCATGATATTAATCACTGGATTGTCTGGTCCATACTCGATTATTTACAGACCGCCGTCATATAGCTTGAATATTGCTGAGTGCGGCGTTAAACAACAAACAAACTATACACAAGTTGGTGATGTGTTATGGATCATGATGTAAGACCTGATTTTGTTAATGTTTTTCCCACATTTAACACACTGGTAATAGCTGTTTGTGGTAATTTCATACCCACAACGAATTAGTACTGCGGGAAAACACCAGACATTTCGTACCAGTGGAATATTCGTACCCAGAAGAATGACAAATTTCGTACACTATTTAGTATTTCTAAGTACACCATTATAAGGTTATATTAGCGATTTTTCGCGAATTGTGTGACGTCACAGTCCATTCCATTTATAAGCACTATGAATCATCATGTGTTTCTGCAGGCTACCTGACTGGGTGAACCCTTTCCTACATTCTACATACTGATAAGGGTTGCTTCTACAGTGTAACGTCATGTGTTTCTGCAGGCTACCTGACTGTGTGAACCCTTTCCCACATTCTACACCCTGATAAGGGTTGCTTCTACTAAGGACATTCATGTGTTTCTGCAGGCTACCTGACTGTGTGAACCCTTTCCCACATTCTACACACTGATAAGGGTTGCTTCTACTGTGTACATTCATGTGTTTCTGCAGGCTACCTGACTGTGTGAACCCTTTCCTACATTCTACACACTGATAAGGGTTGCTTCTACTGTGTACATTCATGTGTTTCTGCAGGCTACCTGACTGTGTGAACCCTTCCCCACATTCTACACACTGATAAGGGTTGCTTCTACTGTGTACATTCATGTGTTTCTGCAGGCTGCCTGACTGTGTGAACCCTTTCCCACATTCTACACACTGATAAGGGTTGCTTCTACTGTGTACATTCATGTGTTTCTGCAGGCTACCTGACTGTGTGAACCCTTTCCCACATTCTACACACTGATAAGGGTTGCTTCTACTGTGTACATTCATGTGTTTCTGAAGGCTGCCTGACTGTGTGAACCCTTTCCTACATTCTACACACTGATAAGGGTTGCTTCTACTGTGTACATTCATGTGTTTCTGCAGGCTACCTGACTGTGTGAACCCTTTCCCACATTCTACACACTGATAAGGGTTGCTTCTACTGTGTACATTCATGTGTTTCTGCAGGCTACCTTACTGTGTGAACCCTTTCCCACATTCTACACACTGATAAGGGTTGCTTCTACTGTGTACATTCGTGTGTTTCTGCAGGCTACCTGGCTGTGTGAACCCTTTCCGACATTCTACACACTGATAAGGGTTCCTTCTACTGTGTACATTCATGTGTTTCTGCAGGCTACCTGACAGTGTGAACCCTTTCACATATTCTACACACTGATAAGGGTTGCTTCTACTGTGTACATTCATGTGTTTCTGCAGGCTGCCTGACTGTGTGGACCCTTTCCTACATTCTACATACTGATAAGGGTTGCTTCTACTGTGTACATTCATGTGTTTCTGCAGGCTGCCTGACTGTGTGAACCCTTTCCTACATTCTACACACTGATAAGGGTTGCTTCTACTGTGTACATTCATGTGTTTCTGCAGGCTACCTGACTGTGTGAACCCTTTCCCACATTCTACACACTGATAAGGGTTGCTTCTACTGTGTACATTCATGTGTTTCTGCAGGCTACCTGACTGTGTGAACCCTTTCCTACATTCTACACACTGATAAGGGTTGCTTCTACTGTGTACATTCATGTGTTTCTGCAGGCTACCTGACTGTGTGAACCCTTTCCTACATTCTACACACTGATAAGGGTTGCTTCTACTGTGTACATTCATGTGTTTCTGCAGGCTACCTGACTGTGTGAACCCTTTCCTACATTCTACACACTGATAAGGGTTGCTTCTACTGTGTACATTCATGTGTTTCTGCAGGCTACCTGACTGAGTGAACCCTTTCCCACATTCTACACACTGATAAGGGTTGCTTCTACAGTGTACATTCATGTGTTTCTGCAGGCTACCTGACTGTGTGAACCCTTTCCCACATTCTACACACTGATAAGGGTTGCTTCTACTGTGTACATTCATATGTTTCTGCAGGCTACCTGACTGAGTGAACCCGTTCCTACATTCTACACACTGATAAGGGTTGCTTCTACTAAGGACATTCATGTGTTTCTGCAGGCTACCTGACTGAGTGAACCCTTTCCCACATTCTACACACTGATAAGGGTTGCTTCTACTGTGTACATTTATGTGTTTCTGCAGGCTACCTGACTGTGCGAACAATTTCCTACATTCTACACACTGATAAGGGTTGCTTCTACTGTGTACATTCATGTGTTTCTGCAGGCTACCTGACTGTGTGAACCCTTTCCTACATTCTACACACTGATAAGGGTTGCTTCTACTGTGTACATTCATGTGTTTCTGCAGGCTACCTGACTGTGTGAACCCTTTCCCACATTCTACACACTGATAAGGGTTGCTTCTACAGTGTACATTCATGTGTTTCTGCAGGCTACCTGACTGTGTGAACCCTTTCCCACATTCTACACACTGATAAGGGTTGCTTCTACTGTGTATATTCGTGTGTTTCTGCAGGCTACCTGACTGAGTGAACCCGTTCCTACATTCTACACACTGATAAGGGTTGCTTCTACTGTGTACATTCGTGTGTTTCTGCAGGCTACCTGACTGTGTGAACCCTTTCCCACATTCTACACACTGATAAGGGTTGCTTCTACTGTGTACATTTATTTGTTTCTACAGGCTACCTGACTGTGTGAACCCTTTCCTACATTCTACACACTGATAAGGGTTGCTTCTACTGTGTACATTCATGTGTTTCTGCAGGCTACCTGACTGTGTGAACCCTTTCCTACATTCTACACACTGATAAGGTTTGCTTCTACTGTGTACATTCATGTGTTTCTGCAGGCTACCTGACTGTGTGAACCCTTTCCTACATTCTACACACTGATAAGGGTTGCTTCTACTGTGTACATTCATGTGTTTCTGCAGGCTACCTGACTGTGTGAACCCTTTCCTACATTCTACACACTGATAAGGGTTGCTTCTACTGTGTACATTCATGTGTTTCTGCAGGCTACCTGACTGAGTGAACCCTTTCCCACATTCTACACACTGATAAGGGTTGCTTCTACAGTGTACATTCATGTGTTTCTGCAGGCTACCTGACTGTGTGAACCCTTTCCCACATTCTACACACTGATAAGGGTTGCTTCTACTGTGTACATTCATATGTTTCTGCAGGCTACCTGACTGAGTGAACCCGTTCCTACATTCTACACACTGATAAGGGTTGCTTCTACTGTGTACATTCATGTGTTTCTGCAGGCTACCTGACTGAGTGAACCCTTTCCCACATTCTACACACTGATAAGGGTTGCTTCTACTGTGTACATTTATGTGTTTCTGCAGGCTACCTGACTGTGCGAACAATTTCCTACATTCTACACACTGATAAGGGTTGCTTCTACTGTGTACATTCATGTGTTTCTGCAGGCTACCTGACTGTGTGAACCCTTTCCTACATTCTACACACTGATAAGGGTTGCTTCTACTGTGTACATTCATGTGTTTCTACAGGCTACCTGACTGTGTGAACCCTTTCCCACATTCTACACACTGATAAGGGTTGCTTCTACAGTGTACATTCATGTGTTTCTGCAGGCTACCTGACTGTGTGAACCCTTTCCCACATTCTACACACTGATAAGGGTTGCTTCTACTGTGTACATTCGTGTGTTTCTGCAGGCTACCTGACTGAGTGAACCCGTTCCTACATTCTACACACTGATAAGGGTTGCTTCTACTGTGTACATTCGTGTGTTTCTGCAGGCTACCTGACTGTGTGAACCCTTTCCCACATTCTACACACTGATAAGGGTTGCTTCTACTGTGTACATTTATTTGTTTCTACAGGCTACCTGACTGTGTGAACCCTTTCCTACATTCTACACACTGATAAGGGTTGCTTCTACTGTGTACATTCATGTGTTTCTGTAGGCTACCTGACTGTGTGAACCATTTCCTACATTCTACACACTGATAAGGGTTGCTTCTACTGTGTACATTCATGTGTTTCTGCAGGCTACCTGACTGTGTGAACCCTTTCCTACATTCTACACACTGATAAGGGTTGCTTCTACTGTGTACATTCATGTGTTTCTGCAGGCTACCTGACTGTGTGAACCCTTTCCCACATTCTACACACTGATGAGGGTTGCTTCTACTGTGTACATTCATGTGTTTCTGCAGGCTACCTGACTGTGTGAACCCTTTCCTACATTCTACACACTGATAAGGGTTGCTTCTACTGTGTACATTCATGTGTTTCTGCAGGCTGCCTGACTGTGTGAACCCTTTCCTACATTCTACACACTGATAAGGGTTGCTTCTACAGTGTACATTCATGTGTTTCTGCAGGCTACCTGACTGTGTGAACCCTTTCCCACATTCTACACACTGATAAGGGTTGCTTCTACTGTGTACATTTATTTGTTTCTACAGGCTACCTGACTGTGTGAACCCTTTCCTACATTCTACACACTGATAAGGGTTGCTTCTACTGTGTACATTCATGTGTTTCTGCAGGCTACCTGACTGTGTGAACCCTTTCCTACATTCTACACACTGATAAGGGTTGCTTCTACTGTGTACATTCATGTGTTTCTGCAGGCTACCTGACTGAGTGAACCCTTTCCTACATTCTACACACTGATAAGGGTTGCTTCTACTGTGTACATTCATGTGTT